GACCCGATGGAGAGACCAGAGGGCACACACTCCACCGGTCCTGGCCCTTCAGGAAGGCTTGACCCGATGGAGAGACCAGAGGGCACACACTCCACTGGTCCTGGCCTTTCAGGAAGGCTTGACCCAACGGAGAAACCAGAGGGCACACACTCCACCGGTCCTGGCCTTTCAGGAAGGCTTGACCCAATGGAGAGACCACAGGGCACACACTCTACCGGTCCTGGCCCTTCAGGAAGGCTTGACCCAGTGGAGAAACCAGAGGGCACACACTCCACTGGTCCTGGCCTTTCAGGAAGGCTTCACCCAATGGAGAAACCAGAGGGCACACACTCCACTGGTCCTGGCCTTTCAGGAAGGCTTGACCCAATGGAGAGACCACAGGGCACACACTCCACCGGTCCTGGCCTTTCAGGAAGGCTTGACCCAGTGGAGAAAGCAGTTGCTACTGAGTCAATTCCTACTCATGGTGAACCAGAAGCACTTGGAAACCAACAAACGTGAATACTTCTTATAACCAAATAATCAAAATTAATGAATTCTTTTTGTTAAAATACTTGAAAAAGATATGGTCTAATATTAAAGCACTATGGTGATCGCTTGTCCGTCAGTTTGTCATACTGTGGGGGCTTCCATGTTGCTGTGATGCTGGAAGCTATGTCACCAGTATTCAAATACCAGCAGGGTCACCCACGGCGGACAGGTTTCAGCTGAGCTTACAGACTAAGACAAACTAGGAAGAAGGACCTGGTGTTCTACTTCTGAAAAAAACTGGTCAGTGAAAACCTTATGAACAGCAGCAGAACATTGTCTGATATAGTGCTGGAAGATGAGCTCTCAGATTGGAAGGCACTCAAAATACAACTGGGGAAGAGCTGCCTCCTCAAACTAGAGTCGACCTTAATGATGTGGGTGGAGTCAAGCTTTTGGGACCTTCGTTTGCTGATGCAGCCTGACTCAATATGAGAATAAACAGCTGCAAACATCCATTAATAATGAGAATGAAGAATGCACTGAGGAAAACTAGAAGTCATCAAAAATGAAATGGAACACATAAACATCGATATCCTAGGCATCAGTGAGTTGAAATGGACTGGTCTCCACCATTCTGAACCAGACAATCATATGGTCTACTATGCCAGGAATGACAAATTGAAGAGGAATGGCATCATATTCGCTGTCAAAAAGAACATTTTAAGATCTATCCTGAAGTACACAACACTGTCAGTGACAGACTAATACCGATACGCCTAGAATGAAGACAGGTTAATACGACTATTATTCAATTTACGCACCAACCATTAATACCAAAGATGAAAAAATTGAAGATTTTTACCAACTTCTGCAGTCTGAAATTGATCAAACATGCAATCAAAATGCATTGATAATTGCTGACTGGAATGGGAAAGTTAGAAAGAAAGAAGAAGAATCAGTGGTTGAATAATAGGGCCTTGGTGACAGAAATGATGCTAGAGATGGCATGATAGAATTCTGTAACACCAATGACTTACTCATTGCAAATACCTTTCTTCAATAACAGAAATGGAGACTATACATATGGACCTCACCGGATGGAAAACACAGGAATTAATTCAACGGTATCTGTGGAAAGAGACGATGAAAAGCTCAATATCATCAAGTTGAAGCTGAAGAAAATTAAAACAAGTCCAGGAGAGCCAAAATACGACCTTGAGTATATCCCACCTGAATTTAGAGACCATCTCAAGGACAGATTTGACACAAAGTACACTAATGACCGAAGACCAGAAGAGTAGCGGAAGGACATCAAGGACATCATACGTGAAGAAAGCAAAAGGTCATTAATAAGACAAGAAAGAAAGACCACATGGATGTCAGAAGAGACTCTGAAACTTGCTCTTGAATGTCGAGTAACTAAAGCAAACAGAAGAAGTGATGATGTAAAAGAGCTGAACGGAAGATGTCAAAGGGTGGTTTGAAAAGACAAGGTGAAGTATTATAATGAAATGTGCAAAGACCTGCAGATAGAAAACCAAAAGGGAAGAACACACTCGGCATTTCTCAAGCTGAAAGAACTGAAGGAAAAATTCAAGCCCCGAGTTGCAATAGTGAAGGATTCTACGCGGGAAATACTGAACAACCCAGGAAGCATCAAAAGAAGATGGAAGTATTACACAGAGTCACTGTACCAAAAAGAATTGGTTGACGTTTAACCATTTCAGGAGGTAGCATATGATCAAGAACAGATGGCATGGAAGGAAGAAGTCCAAGCTGCACTGAAGCCTTGGTGAAAAATAAGGCTCCAGGAACTGACGAAATACCAACTGAGATGTTTCAACACACAGATGTAGCACGAAGGTGCTCACTCGTCTATGCCAAGAAATTTCGAAGACAGCTACCTGGCCAACCAACTGGAAGAGATCCATATTTATTCCTACTCCCAATAAAGGTGATCCAACCAAATGCAGAAATTATTGAACAATATCATTAATATCATACACAAGTAAAATTTTGCTGAAAATAATCAAAAATGGTTGCAGCAGCACATTGACAGGGAACTGCCAGAAATTCAAGCCAGATTCAGAAGAGGACATGGAACGAGGGATATCACTGCTGATGTCAGATGGATCTTGGCTGAAAGCAGAGAACATCAGCAAGATGTTTTCCTGTGTTTTGCTGACTATGCAAAAGCATCTGACTGTGTGGATCATAACAAATTATGGATAACATTGCGAAGAATGGGAACTCCAGAACACTTAATTGTGCTCATGTAGAACCTGTAATAGACCAAGACGCAGTCGTTCGAACAGAACAAGGGGATACTGCGTGGTTTAAAGTCAGGAAAGATGTGGGTCAGGGTTGTATCCTTTCATCATATTTATTCAATCTGTATGCTGAGCAAATGATCTGAGAAGCTGGAGTAAATAAAGACAAACGGCATCAGGATTGGAGGAAAACTCATTAACAACCTGCGATATGCAGATGACACAACCTTGCCTGCTGAAAGTGAATAGAAATTGAGGCACTTACTGATACACATCAAAGACCACAGCCTTCAGTATGGATTATACCTCAACATAAAGCAAACAAAAATCCTCACCAATCCTGGACCAATAAGCAATATATCATGAAAAGCAGAGAAAATACTGAAGTTGTAAAGGATTTCATATCACTCGGATCCACAATCAACACCCATGGAAGCAGCAGTCAAGAAATAAAATGCCACATTGCATTGGGCAAATCTGCTGCAAAAGAACTCTTTAAAGTGTTGAAAAGCAAAGATGTCACTTTGAAGACTAATGTGCTCTTGACCCAAGCCATTACATTTTCAGTCACCTCATATGCATGCAAAAGCGGGACAATGAATAAAGACCGAAGAAGACTTGACACCTTCGAATTGTGGTGTTGATGAAGAATACTGAATATACCATGAACTGCCAAAAGAACAACCAAATCTGTGTTGGAAGAAGTACAACCAGAATGCTCCCTGGAAGCAAGGATGTCGAGACCACGTCTCACATACTTTGGACACGTTATCAGGAGAGATCAGTCCCTGGAGAGACATCATGCTTGGTAAAGTAGAGGGCCAGTGAAAAAGAGGAAGACCCTCAACAAGATGGATTGACACAGTGGCTGCAACAATGGGCTCAAGCAAACAATGACTGTGAGGATGCAGGTCCGGGAGCAGTGTTTCATTCTGTTGTACACAGGGTCGCTATGTGTGGGAACCAACTTGACAGCACCTAACAACAATAACAGCATAGAATGAAGCAAGGAAATGAAGTAAAAGTTCAAAACAACTTTCAGGTTAGAAAAGCAAGTACAAATTCCTCCTTTATCCCATCACTATGACAATAAAATCATCTTGTAATACATTGGATAACATGCTTTAAAGTAGTAACATCTGAGAGAGTAAAAGCTTTTACAACACGATAATCATTACATTTCTGGACATGATTTTATGCAACACATAGTAAACTACTCATCATCTGTCGCCAAGATAGTCACAAACACAGAAAATATTCTGCTGGTTCGCACGGGTCTGAGTGGAAAATCAGATTAGCTACTTTGTCCCTGACAATGTAACTAAGAAACGACAGTCAGCTTCCCTTTGTTGCTGATAAAAGCCACATATACACCTCACGCACCACTAACCTCCTCTTACTGACAGTACAGGAATACAGCCAAAATCTTGATTCCACTTGTAATTATCATCCTAGAATAGCAAATTTACTTAACACCATGTAAAGCTCTTGAATTTCTTCCCCTAAATCTACCTCTTTCAAGTTTTAACATGGACCCAATTTATACTGTATTTTGTATATATGAACAATCTCAAAGTGACTTTATTCTTGACATCCACACTGTCAGGTTATGGCCCTTGGCTACAAGAACTCTCTCTGAATCACTCCGGTATTCAGAGCACAACAGCCACATGCCAAGGGTGGCTCAACAAACGTGACTACATTAATAAATAATTAATAAAGCAGTGAATCATCAAAGTCTCTAAAATCCCCAAATGACTACCAATGTCAATTTTGCTACTTAGCTGGTATACCATCACTAAGGATCTGAAGACAGACTCTGAAATCTGCATTTAATACATGGGTTATCTACCTAAAAATTTCTATAATAGCTGGACATCAATACAAAAATTGTATTTATGAAAAATTAAAGTCCTTTCTAACCTGCGGATGTAAATATAAGTACTGACACACTCAACCACTAAGCAGTTTCCATTAGTTTTGCAGGAAAAAGTTACAATAATAGAATAAAATCTCACAGCACGTTCCTCCCCTTGAAACCGAAGCCATTCTTCTATGTCCTCTCTCTGCCTCTGTCCTGAGACAGGTAAGATGACACACAGCTGGCTTCCAGAACAGGAATCCTACAGCAGAACAACAGTAAGGGAGCTACTTTCTACACACTGAAAGCATCTCGGGTAAAACGAAGGACCAACTGTGACAGAGGGACAGAGAGGGTGTGGAACTGTGTGTACACTCAGCAGCAACACAACGAAGTAACAAACACCAAAATAAACATGGCTATAAAACTCAGAAGAAAAGGCTCAGCTATAAACAAGAGGCAGTGACCGTAAGGACCATCAGGTGGGACGTGCAGCACGTCCGAGGAAACTGTTCATTCTATAATCTCTCTGCCCACACCTCCACGAGCAGGGAGTACCTGGAAGCAAGGCCGTGAAGCAGGCATGACCACACCTTGGTGGACCGACTAGTACCTGGAAGCAAGGCCGGGAAGCAGGCATGACCACACCTTGGTGGACCCACTAGTACCTGGAAGCAAGGCCGGGAAGCAGGCGTGACCACACCTTGGTGGACCCACTAGTACCTGGAAGCAAG